AGCCGAGCCGCCAGGGGCTGGTGCTGTGGGAGGCTGGGGCGCGAGGGGTCACCACAAGGTTCTGTCTGCGCTGCGGCCAGATGTCTCCGTAACTGAAAGGCTCCTCACTCGCTCCCTAGCGACCCTCTGCCTGTCCTCTGGGCCCCGTGGCGGGTCTGCGGCCCCAGCGCTCACCGTCCCCAGCGTGTGTGCAGGTGCGCAGTCCGTGCCGGGAAACGGTCCTCGGAGAAACAGAGGACCAGTCCCCTCGGCTGCAGCAGGTGCGAGCCAGACGCCCCTCGGGCCTCGGCCCCGCTCCCTGGCTCTGCGGGCTGCAAGGCGGCCCCCGAGTGTCTCCCCCGACACACGAGCACGGCCTCTGTGCGAGTGAGCAGTGCGCTTTCCGGGCGGGGCGCCCTGCCCTCAGCCCTCTCCCGCTGCACAGAGCACGTCGGTGCCACGCAAGGTAACGGCGACAGAGAGGGTGGCTCCGGGCTGAGCCGTGGCTCCTCACTCAGCGGCGAAGCGGGTCAGCGGGGCGGGGTGTGTTACTGGCGCCGAAGTAACCGCAGGGGCAAGCGTACTGGGTGCGGAAGGGGCTCGTCCCGGACCCGACCGCCCGATGCCGCCGGCCTCTCCCTCCGGAGCAGCCCTCTGCAGTGCTGGTGCCAGAGCAACGTCTGCCGGCCACCGGCCTCCGCTCCCGGGACGCCCCCAGAGGTGACGGGGCGCAGACGTGGCAGAGCACGGGAAGGCCCCCGTGTGCGTCCTAAGTCCCCACTGTGGAGGTCAGGAGGTCACAGACGCCGGCAGAGGGGGAGCAGGGACTCGACGCCTCCTTACGCTGAAGACCCTCCACACTCTGACGGGAGCTCCCCAGCAACCCGGCGCGCGACGAGCCCGCCGTCGGCTAGTCCCTCTGACCCCGGTCCGGGCCGCCGACCTGGGCACCCCCGCCCCACTCCTCCAGCCCCCTCGCCCTGGGGCGCCACGCTGCCACCCAAGAGTGGCGGTGAGGACTACCCGAGGGCAAAGACAACGCGAGGCATGGAGGGAGGCTGGGAGTCACCGGCTGGGCCCACGCCACAGCTGTGGGGTCAGTGCAGTTACGAGAGCGATTCAGCAGGCCACGGCCCGCAGGTTCACTGATGAAAACACAAACGCACAACAGTTTAAGCAACCAGAGCACATGGCTCGGAGGAGGTACTACTTCTTCCAACGCCCACTTCAGCCACTTGCAAACGTTTGCACACCCCCCTCCCCGCGACGTTGAGGTAGAGCTGCCAGCGGCTGCAGGCACCCAAGGTTACACGGCGCTGGTCCCGGCCAAGCTCCCGGCGCCCCAGGCGCCGCCCCATGGGAGAGCAGCAGCTGCAGGGGCTGGTGACTCGGGGCCCACAATCTACGGGACCTTCTTCTCCCCGCTTTTCATGTGGAAATTCTCAGGATTTCACACAAGTGCAGAACAACCAGCAATGAGCACCCACTGCCAGAGCACTCGGCCACCTCCCCTCTGTTTCCAGGGCGAGTGACAGCAACCGCACAGACGCTGTCGTCTCACCCATAAAATCTCAGCATCTCCGAGGCCGGAACGCGGCAAACCCCACGTCGAGCGTGAGAGGACGAATGACCCCGCATCACCCTCTCAGACCCAGCCCCACGTTTCCAGGGCACAGCACACCTGCTCTTTCTGAAGACTGCAAATACACTAGATCGATGCGGAAACACTTCATTCTGTTCAGGCTGGATTCCTGGCCGGCCGTGGGGCGGCCTGCAGCCCAGCAGCAGCCCGCGCGGGAGGAGCGGGGACCCGCACAGGGCTGAGGCCCGGTGGTGGCTGCCCCCGGGCTGCGATCCTCCACGGAGTCACACACACGTCTTCATAAAAACACACACAATCCGACTCAAGTGCACGGCGACGTTTCTTACCAAAAGGAGCCACGTCCTGACAGGATGGTGTCAAAACTCACAGGACTTGGGTCTGTTCTGCAAGGAGGCAGGATTATTCTCTGAACCCCAGACCAGGACTTGTGGTCTGCAAGGCCCCAGTCGCTCGGAGACCTCCGGGCAGGAGTCTCCGGCCCAGACTGCTAGCGCCCAGCAGGCGTCTGTCCCCACGGTCACCCCCAGGCATGCCCGCAGCCACCCACCCCCCGGCAGGCAGGCTCCTCCTGCATCCCCATCACCCAGCGGCTCCCATGGGCGTGGCAGGGGCTCGAGTCGCCCTCACCCTATGCGCCAGCGTAGCCTCAGAAAGGACAGGACTGTGCCTGGGGCCACTTTATACGAAGCCCACTTGGTTCTACTGGTCCTCTGGCAGCTGGCTGCCCCCTGCCCAGGGCAATCGGGCCGTGTTAGAACTCGCCGCAGCAACTGCTTGATGAGCAGCAAGGCCAGTATCTGAGGACCCGACAGGGCCCATGGTCCACACTTTTAAAGGGTTACGTCTGCGTCTTGTGAGGAGCTGACTTGGGAGGTGAACTCAAATGCCCAGCTGCACTTTCATAAAACTCTAAGTCATTACTTCTGCTGTTTCAGCTTGGACCTGTGACATGCTTTAGAATAGCGTCTCTGGCTCGCTTCCCACACAAAAACGACTTAACACCAAGTTCTGGGAGTTGGAGGTGACCTCACATCGAATGGGGGAGCAGAGCGGAAAGGCTCCCCAGGCTTGCGAGCGGCACAGGGCACTAGGAAAGTGTGCTGAGCGGTGGCCTGAATAGGAATCCCCGTCCCAGAGCCCTGCGCAGGCTGCCTGTGGGAAAACGAACTGGGGCGGTGGCGGCGGCAGAGCAGAGAAGCGCTCGCTCCTGCCCAAGGCAACTACGTATCCTCTCACGGAGACAATGCATCTCCCTGACGGGTAATGGGATTTGCCCGCAAGCTTCTCTGTGCCTACACCTTTCCACGGCCCCAGCTCCGAAATTCTTGCGTTTTACTGTTTTTTCACTTCTAGTCCCAAAGCACGGGAATGTCTGCTTCTTTCTCTGTCAACACTGCTAAGTGGTGTAACGTCCCTGCCAGAGCTGGTGGGAGGTTGAAAGAAACTCAGTCGACCCCATCCTGCCCCCGGGGGCGCTAACCCAGCGGCTCTCCTGGGCAGAGGGGAAGGATGCTCGGCCTCGCTGTGGAAGACGGCGGCCGAGCCTGGTGCTCTGCTGGGACTGGGCTGGCGGCCCCGAGGGCTGGGGACAGGCCACCTCCTGTACAGGCCCTGGCCGACACGGTCTCCGTGACAGGGAAGGAGGGAGCTGACTGGATTCCTTCTAGGGCCTTCTACCAGCTTTGGCACAAAACTTAGAGCTCGCCCCCTTTGCAGTGGGCAGCATCCCTCTGCAGACTCGCGCTTCGGGCGAACCGCTTCCTGCGGCTGTCTTCCAGGCGCAAACGTCTTTGGAGGTTACCGCTGCCACACTGAACGTGCAGCGTGGACGTGCCGCTCCCGACACAGGAGGAGCAGACACGGCGAGAGAGGCAGCGCCACACGACCCCGGGCAGGGGGCACCTTGCAAGGGAGGCGGCCAGCAGCTCAACTGGTGGACACAGCTGCCTCTGATGTAACGACATCACAGGACTTAACCACCGTCTGTTTCACACTCGAACACGAAAGTGCGGGCGTGCACGTCTACTAAACCAAAAATGATAGGTAAGACACTTCAGCAGGTTATAAAGCCTGTATTTGAAAAAGACACATTTCGTTGAAACCCATTTTCCATTTTAATGATAGCTTCTCCCACGTGGTTATTTCAGTCTCCTTAAAACGCCGAGCCTCTTTATCACCTGCTCCACCCCGTAATTAAGCCACCTCTCAAAGACTAACCTAGACAGAGGCGCCTCCTGCACTGTGTCCCAAATCCAGCTGCGGCCCCGAGGTCACTGGGATCACTCGGATGGTGTCAGGCGGAGAAAACCCACCCGTGAGCGGGCCGCACCTGGGGCACAGCTTCTGGTTTTACTCGGACTCCGAAGCTTGCAGACATCAGGCAGCCAGGGGTCCTCCCTTAAGCTTACAGCCACTGCCCCTGAGGTCCCAGCCCTGGATGACTTTCTGACCCGCACGCAGGGCCAGCTCCTCTGCATCCCTGGGCACTGGCCCGGGACAGGCCATGTGGAGAGCCTGGGTTTGGGGGAGTCACTGCCCGGAAGGGGCGGAAAGGCGTGGCCCCTTCCTCCCCCGCCGCGCCGCCCGGCAGAGGACCCCCTAACGGCATTGTCCCGGGGCGCGCCTCCTACCCTCCGCGGGGACCCGCTGCGCCGCCCGCCCGGCCCGGCCTGCCCGCCGCGCTCGCCCCCGGGGCGTGCGCCCGGACCTCCCTCCGCGGCCGCCCGGCGCCGGCAGACCGAAGGCCGGCCCCCGGGAGCCTCCCTGTGCCCCCGAGCCCGGCCCGCCGCCCCCCGCCGGGCCCTCGGGAGGACGCACCTTCTTGCCCTTCTTGCCCTCCTCCTCCATGTCGCCGCGAGCGGTCCCCGCGGCCCGGCCCGCCCCGGGAGCCCCGCGCCCCCCGCGACCGCTACATGCTCTCCCGGGCCCCGCGGCCGCCGCGGCCGCGTTCCTGCGCCGCCCGCCCGCCCTGCCGCCGTCTCCGCCCGCGGCCGCCAGGGGCCGTCCGCACCCCGCACTTCCGGGCCCAGGGCGCGGCCCCGCCCCCCGCACGCCCCGCCCCCAACCTTTCCGAGCGGCGAGATCGCGCCGGCCCCGCCCCGCCCCTTCAGAGCGGCGGGAGCGCGCCTGTCACGCCCCTGCTTCGCCCTCAGCCCGCCCATTGCCCCTCGGGGCCGCGGGAGCGGCTCCCGCTTTTCGATTCCGCCGCCATCTTTATGACTGCCAACTTCCCGGCCTGCCTCGCGCTCAGGGAGGCGGAGCTCAGGCCGTCGGGGAACGCTGGGTGGGGGCCATGGGGCGGGGCCTGCGGGAAGGGCGGGGCGAGTGGGAGGGGCTAACAGGAAGAAGCGAGCGGGTCTGGGGAGGGGCGGGGCCTCAGAGGATGAGGGGCGGGGGCAGCTGGAAGGGCGGTCGTAACAGGAAGGTGAGAACTTGGTTTCATTCTCTTGTTAGATAAACCTGCCATCTGCCAACCCGGGGTGGTCCCCCACGCTGGCGGACAGTTTCAAGTTACACCCGGGAAGCTCCCGAGGCTGCACGCTCACACGTCCAGACCCTATCCGAATGAAACAGGGTAAAACGTGTACGCTTAGCGTCAGCTAGAGCCGGGCGGTTTGCCCGAAAGCGCAATGCAAACTGGAGTCGGCGGCAGCAGGCCCGCGCTCTTGCCGACTACACCCAGATGCCGGCAGGAACCCTGCAGCGCAGAGAGTGTAAACCGACACCCGGCAGACCGATGTCTGTCTCGACTGTGTTTTCAGTGAGGGATGCTGTGCCAGCTGCCAGGGTCCTGCTCTCGGCCCCGCATTCTCCCGTTTCCTGCTCTGCGGGATGGAGCTGGGCCCTTGCGCACTCCTCCTCCGCCTGCAGAAGGTGCCGGCCGGGAGGTCGTGCGATTTGGAGTCAGGTGCCAGGCCGGCCCTTGCCTTCCCAGGACTCGGGGAGGTGGTCAGAGCGAGGGCGCCCGAGTCCTTGGGAAGTATTTAGCGATTTCGCTTGAAAAGGGCAGAGACGGGAATTCTGAAAGCAAAGGGGTCCTCCCGTTACTTGGAAGAGGGCCGCCCCACATCTTTCCTTCGCGAGGCCGCCCCTGGCTTCGTTGCTCACAGAGCCCGCTTTCTCGCCGCCCGGGGCCCCGTCCACGACCGGGTTGGCAGGCTCGCGGCGCGCCTGGCCGCACCGAGCACTAGCCTTGAACTCCGTCCCCACCGGGACCTCCGAGGCGCGCGGCAGCCGCCCTCCAGGCCGCGCCCAGAGACCCCCTGACGTCACCTGTCACCTCCCCCGGCGGCGCGCGGCAGCGGGGCGCGGGCCGCGTGACGCCGCCGGCGGCCTCGGGAGGGCTGCGTGATGACGCAGGCGCACGGCGCGTGTGGCGTATGTGGCGGCAGTCATGGCGGACGGGGTCGACGAGGTCTGGTTTCGGCGGGACCCTCCCGGGCGTCGGCTTCATCCGAGGCCATCGAGGATCCCAGGCGGGGCCCGCCATCTGCTAAGGCTGGGTAAGAGTCGTGGGCCCTCGCGGCGGGGCGCCGCGGGTGCGCTGGCCTGCAGGGGTGGCCAGCTGGGCTCCGAGGACACGTGCGGCCCGGGAGGGTGGGGGACGCGCTGGGCATGGGGTCCCGGCGGCGGCTTCCCCGAGGGCGTGAAGCAGGCGCTGGGAGGCAGGCGGGACCTCAGCGCGCGCCTCCTCCGCAGCCGTCCCGCGACTTGCGCTTGGAGTGCGGCCCCCCAGCAGCGGGCCCGCTGTGCCCCCGCCGTAGCAATCCCCGAACCTACTTCTGTGACCTGCCCGGAATCCCGCAGAGTGCGCTGACGGGTAGAAGAACGTGGGAGAAAGGATGTTTTGTGCAGTGACGCCCCGGCACGGGTAACCCCTGGGACCGGTAAGTTCGGGAAGCCCTGCGCTGGAATGGCAGAGGGGGACTCGGGGGCCTGATGAGCCTGCCGCTCCCCGGGCTCCTGGAAGAAGCCCTCGGTGGCTCACTATAAACTGCGGGCGGGGAGGGGGCGCGGGGGGCCGCGGGCTGCAAGCCTCCAGCGTGCTTGGGTCTGGAGTGACCCTGTGCATTCCTACAGTGCTTGCGAGAACATTCCGAAACGGTTTGAGGCCTGGCCCTGCCGCCTCCGGGGCCAGGTTATAGAAATTTCGGACAGTCGCCTGCTCTCTTCAGAATCTGACGTGTGGGCCCCGTGTGGATCTGCACGGCCCCACGGCAGCCACTGGCCACACACGGTTGAACGTTTGCACTCAGATTTTCAGCACCAGTACCCACGGGTCGGGTGCTCAGCAGCGAGCGACATGGGGCAGAGGGCACTGGATCGGGGTGCAAGACCAGGACGGTCATGTCTGTGCTGAGGTTGTTGGGGCTTTCTGGGGGTTTGCTCTGGCCCAGGCTCCCTGTGAGTTTTATATGACCGTACCCTGAAACAGCCTTACAGAGAGTTGAAGGTGGGGGTGGGCGGGTGGAGGCAGAGCAGTGATGGGGAATGAAGAGTGGAGAGCAGGGAGGGGCACGGAACCCTGCCCCGAGGAACGAGGGTCCAGGAGCCGCAGGCTGGTCCTGCTGCCGGGCTGGGGCGGGTGAGCCCTCTGCGGGCTGATCGAAGGCAGAGCCCGGGGACTGGGGAGGGGGGACGGTGGCATGGGCTGAGCCGTGTTGTGCGAAGCTTAGTCGTGCTTCACCCAGCACGTGCACTAATATAGTGATTTATTGCTGCTTTAGCCGCGTTCTAAGGGAGGGAAGAGGGACTGACAAAAATAGTGGCTCATCTGGGACTGTCTTCCTTCGCTGCTGCGTCCCGGGGCTTTCCTGGAGCTCGGGCTCGGGGCCCTGAGCGCCGCCTCGTCTCCTGCTCGGCCCTGAGCCCTGAGAGAGGCTCACTCGGCGTGCGTGTTGGGGGGCTGCCCGGAGCCCCCTTCCACTGTCTCCCTGCTCCGCTGCTGGCCTGCGAGGGTGGCGCTGGTGGCCTCCAGCGGCCTCGACGCCTGCGCTGGTAGCATCTCCTCCTTGGACTTGGACTCCGGCCTCACCTCGGGCTGCGCCTCCTCCCGTGGCTCCAGCTTGGTGGCCAACTTCTTGTCGGGGCCGGGTTCGGGGGTCTGCAAGGGCTCCGCGCCCCGGGAGCTCCCCGCCTCCTTGCTGATGGCCGCAGAGGACTGGCCCCGGGCCCCGGGCTGCACCCAGCAGTGGCCGAGGACCTCGTCGATGCGCAGCCGCCGGGCGACGTCCGGCTGGAGCATGCGGTAGATGAGGTCCTTGCACTCGTCGGTCAGGCGCTTGGAGCGCGGGAAGTTGACGCGGTGCTCCTTCTGCACGCGCAGCATCTTCTTGATGTTGGAGTCGTCGTAGGGCATGGAGCCGCAGACCATGATGTAGAGGATCACGCCCAGGCTCCAGATGTCATAGACCTTGGGCTGGTAGGGGATGCCCTGCAGCACCTCGGGGGCTGCGTAGGCCGCCGACCCGCAGAAGGTCTTGCTCAGGGTCAGCCGGCCGCTGTCGTCCCGCAGGCAGCGCTTGGAGAAGCCGAAGTCGGACAGCTTGATGTTGAAGTCCTTGTCCAAGAGCAGGTTCTCGCACTTGAGGTCTCGGTGGACGATGTCCAGGTCGTGGCAGTACTTGACGGCCAGGGAGAGCTGGCGGAACTTCTTGCGGGCGTCGTCTTCCTGCAGGGCTCCGTGGGTTTTGATGAACTCGAGGAGGTCGCCCTGGACCCCGAGCTCCATGACGATGTAGACCTTGCCCTCGGAGGTCTCGAAGATCTCGTAGGTCTTGATGATGGAGTGGTGGTTTAGCACAATCAGAATCTCTATTTCCCGGGGAAGGAACTTCTCCAGGAAGTCCGGAGGGGCTTTCTTGCGGTCAATGATCTTGACCGCCACATTGAACTTCAGGCGCTCGGAGTACGCGGATTTGACTTTGGCGTATGAGCCCTCTCCCAGGTTTATCCCCATGATGTAGCCTCGCCGCTTGAGGACGGCAGCGTCGTCCATGGTGCCCGGAGCCCCCAGCGCCTCTGAGGCTGCCCTCCACGCACCCGTGAGGCATGGGCCGGCGGGTCCTCGCCCACGCTGCGGACAGAGTCCTCGGGGCTGGCTGGGCCCGCTGTCCCGCCTCCTCGGGGTCGGAACGTTTGCCGTCGTCTCCAGGGTGACTCCAGTGGGTGACGTCACAGAGGGGGAGTGCCCTGGGGGGTGAGGTTCTGGCTTGAGCGTTTGGACTCGGAACCTGGAAAGCCAGCCGGTGGGCTGGGGCTGGCCGAAGGCCTTCAGACAGTGGCCTTGCACTCGGCTGGGACCTGAGGTATGTGGGGGCAGTGGGGACACATGATCTGTCCAGGCCTCCAAACCCAGAGCCGGGACTTCTGTCGAGCGGGGAGCCAGGGCAGACAGACCCTTGTGTCAGTCCCGTCCCTGCCGGAAACGGCATGCCCCAGGCGGGGGGCCTGGGGGTCTGGTCAGGGCATCACTCACAAAGGTGGGAGCCGAGTGTGGGGAGCCCTGATGGTGGTCACACTCTTGGGAGAAGGGCTGTGTAGAGGCAGAGAGGGCAGCTTCAAGAGAGGCAGTGACCGCCCCAGGCAAGGAGCTGGGGAGAAGTGTCCCTAGCCATCTCTCCCTTCCGTCCTGGGAGCTCTGGCCAGGGGTGTGGTCCTCTGGTCCGGGGACCGAGGCGGAGGAGGGTGGAGGGGTCAGGGTGGGCAGGCTCCAGGCCCCTGGTCACTGCCTTTGGGGAGCCAGGGCCCGGCCCCTCCCGTATGGTCTGGCCAGACACCTCACCCCCTGTGCTGCTCTCTCGTCCGAGCCTCGGTCAGCTTCGCTGACAGCGAGTCTGCACGGGGCGCGAGTGGCGGGGATTTCTGCTCCTGCTGTGTGTTGCCCCAGGGGTCTGCCGGGACCGGAGCCTCAGCTGGACTCCTGGGGCGGAGCTGGGGCTGGGCCCCAGAGGCTGGACCTGGATCCCGCGTGGAGGGCCAGCAGTGGAACCCGCCGCTGTGAGGGCTCCTCCGTCTGGCACCTGCTTGTGCAGCACCCTGAGGAGCAGGAGCCTTGGTTTTGGTCTCGGCCACGTCCGGCCCAGAGAGTGGGCGCCCCTTGCGCACTGGAGTGGGTGTGCACCACCCCTTGGTGTTCATTGGTCAGCTTCGTGGGTGGGAGGCAGGGCATCTCTGCGTTCACGTGGCTGCAGCCCAAAGTGGCCAGCAGCACCTTCCTGCTCCTGTACTCTGTCCCTACACCGTGACCACACGTGCAGCTCGGAGAACTCGGCACATTCACCGGGTGGAAATCTGGAGAAGTGCCATAGGGTGTGTTAGGTCCACCCAGTGCCGGTGGGAGGGTCAGAGTTTGGTGTCCAGGTTCACCCAGGGGAGCCAGGTGGGTTGGCGGGAGGGAAGGCCCTGTGTCCTCGCTATTGTTGGGGCTGTGGGTGCGGTCGGTTGGGCCGGCGTGGCCATGGCGGGGCAGCAGAGGCCTGGGCCCCTTGGGGTGCAGGCTCACGCCACACCTTCCTTCCCCCGTGCAGGTCGAGGCCTCCAGCAGACCCAGGCCCCTCCTGTGTCCAAGCCCAGGCGCTGAACACGCCGGCCTTCACACAGCCACCCTCAGGAGACACTTCTTTTCCGTGAGTCTTGCGTTTCTGTGGTTCTGGGAGCAAGGCACTGGCTGCCTTTGGCCCAGACTATCTGTTCTGGGTTGTTCAGGACACCGGGGGGGGGTGGGGGCAGTGGAAGCCCATCCCTGCAGAGCTGGGAGCCAGTGTGGCCCCGCCTGGCGCCCGGGGGAATCGGGGCTGGTGCTCTGACTGCTGCTGCTGTGACTCGCCAGCTCTCTGTCTGGGTGGGGACTCTGGCGCTTCCTCCCAGCACCTGTGAGGCTGGGGGAGCTGCCTTGTCACCTGCAGGCTGGGGGCGGGGGCAGACCCCTCCCAGGTGCCGAGGGGCACCTCCCTGCAGCAGACTGCTGTGTGTCCCTGCCCCTAAACGCCAGGATGTCGGGGCTAGAAGAGACCTGAGAGGTGTCCCCTTTGGTGGCCACCAGGCTGGTCCAGGGCTCTGGGGTGGGGGCTGTTCAGGACAGGAGCGCCTGTCCAGGAAGTTCAGAACCACCCACTGTTCTGACTTCTCCATGTTATAAGTCAGGGGGCTGACGGCCTTTGGGGTTTGGGAGCAGAGGGGCACCCTTCCCCGGGGGTCTTCGGGTCGGTGGTGTGGGCCGGAACGGTGGCTGCCACAGAGGCCCCCATTCGGGTCGGGAGTGGGAACCCGGTCGAGTTCGTTGTTGCCCCTCCGGTGACCGGCCTTCGCATGACGGCCCCGGCCATGTGCTCACACCTGCGCGTTCTCACGGTTCTCCACCTCTCGTCTCTGCAGGTGCCGCGGACGCCCGGAGGTGGAGGCTCGCCGTGCTGGAGCGCCAGGGAGGCTGCGGCGGGACTGGGGCCCGGGCCTTTGCCCCCGCCTCTCTGAGCGGGTTCCGGTCCTGGCCGGCTCGCCTTCTGCAGGGAGTCTGGGGTTGCCGGCACTGGGCTGGGGTCTGGGGGGCTCAGGGCCTGGCGTCTGACTGACCCTCTCTGAGCCGTGAGCGGACGCTGCTTCTTCCGCCTGCTGCCAGAACAAGGACCCGGGCCCCTCCAGCGTTTCCTGGATGAGAAACAAGGGGCGTTTAATAAAGAGACTCGATGTGTGATTGGGTCCAGGCTCGCTCTCTCTCGCGCGCTTTCTCTCTCTCTCTCCCCCTCTCCCTCGCACAGTGTGCTCAGCACGCTCAGCACGAAGAGGAGAAAGGCCTGCCCTGCTTGCTGGGGTTGGGGCCCAGCTGGAGCCGGTGCCTCCCGTCCCCTTTGTGAACCACGCCCGGGGAGGGGGCAAGGCCTGAGTGCAGCAGGTTCACCTGGACATCCTGGGGGCTTGACGGGGTTCTGCGTCCCCACCGGGACCCCAGTGTGAGCTGACAGCCCAGTGAGAAGGAGGCACCTGCCTGACATCCATTTGAGCAGCGCTTGGTCACCGCCCAGCGCTGTGGGCGCACAGGCCAGCTCCCGGGCCCCACAGGGTCAGCAGCCAGCTGGGCCGGGCTGACAAGCAACATTCAGCTTGCTCGTGCCGAGTGATGGGAAGGGCACCCCAGTCACAACAGCCACACCCCAAGGCCCAGGCTGAAAGCCTCGCCTTGGAACCAAGGGTCGGACCCTGCTGACCCATCCAGCAGCCAGGGACAGCGAGGTGGCCTGGGCGCGGCTCCGCTGGGCCTTCGGAGGACAGGCTGGAGCCGGGGTCTGCAGCGTGCCGGCCCGGAGAGGGGGGGATGGAGTCCAGCCCCGCTGTGTGGGAGCCGAGGAACAAGGCGGGCGTGCCGCGCAGGGCGAGGGGTCGGCGAGGGGCTGGACCGGGGAGGCACCTCGGGACGTGAAACTGGTCCAGATGAGACGGGGACGCCGCTGGCCCACCCCAGCTGGCAGGCCCTGCGGACAAGCCCCCTGGGGAGGCTGCTGATGAGGCCGGGCTTGGCCTGCGTGGGCCGGGAAGGGAAGGGACTCGGGATGGCGCCTGGGTGGGTGGGGACCCGGCGGGCTGTCAGAATGGGGGGTGCAGCAGAGCGCGGCTCAGCTCAAGGTTGCGGCCGCGGCGGCTCCCGAAGCCAGAAGCCGAGAGCTGAGTCCCCACCTGAGAGCGGTTGGGACGTTTTTTACGTGGAAGAAAATACCCCCCCCCCAGAAACCTCTCACGCCCTGGCTGGGTGGTTCAGTGGGAGTGTCGCTCTGCGCACCAAGGAAGGTCTGAGGTTCAGTCCCCAGCCCAGGCACACGCGGGGGGCAACCGACGCTTCTCTCCCAGCGATGTTTTTCCGCCCCTCCCCCCAATCAGTAAAACCATGCCCTCAGCTGAGGGCTACGGAAAGAAAGAGAAACTACTTCGTGACATAGGAAAATGTTGCTCGGTTCGGGCTTCGGTGACCCCGAAGTGTCACTGGGCCGGCCACTGCGCTCCTTTTGACGCAAGCCCGGGGCCCGGGAGTTTGGGGAAGTGAAACCCCGCCGCTGGCGGGCCCCGGACTCCCCCAGTTCTCCCCCGCGCTGGTTTGGAAAGCCCTCCAAAAACACCAGCCCAGGCCGCAGGCCGAGGACTGTGCAGAGGTCGGGAGGTTGAGGTCGGCCCCGGTCTGCCCACGGGGACCCGCAGGGCGGCGCGAAGCCCTGTCCCGACGGGTGGGGTTCTGTGCTGAGCGCCCAGGGCGGGGCTGGTTTTATCCCGCACTGCAATGAGCACTTTGCGATTTCATTAAATCTGTGTTTGGGGGGGGGGGCCTTGCATATCAAACAATTGTTTCAGAGCTTTAAAAAGTCAGTTGGGCCCCGGCTGGTGCGGCGCCGCAGTGGACTGAGTGCCGGCCGGTGGACCGAAAGCTCACAGTCGGCTTCCCGGTTGGGGCGCACACCTGGGTTGCGGGCCAGGTCCCCGGCTGGGAGCCTGTGAGAGGCAACCGCTGTCTCCCACGTGGATGTTTCTCTCCCTCTCCCTCCCTCCCTTCCTTCCCGTCTTCCTGAAATAAGTAAAATCTCGATAGAAAGGAAAGCAGGTTGACTGAAAGGCAATCATCAGATGAACTCGCCTCCTGACTCCGAGTCCCGCAGGCGGCACGTGGGTGACGACGCGACTTCGGGGAACGCGCCGTCCTGTGCCGGGCGGGGGGTGCTGTTCGGGGGCAGAACTGAGCGGCTCCTAACTGCCGCCTGGTCGGCAGGGCCCTCAGCACGGGAGGCCCCTCGTGCTGCTCCCTGTCCCAGCCGCCGAACAGGCAGGTGGGCGGCCCTCGCGCAAGAAGGGACCTTCTGGGAAGCACCCGGAGGCAGATGAGTCCCTACCCCGGGTACCCATGGTCAGTGCTGCCAGTCCCCTCCTGGCGTGGTCTCTGCACTCCAAGGGCGGCCTCAGCCCCTGCCCCTGCCCCAAACGCCAGGGCGTGGGCCATCCCCACATGCTGAGGTCCTGCAGGTGACCCTGTGCGGCAGGGCTGGGGACCGTGGCCACTGCCGTTGGGGGCCGGGGCAGGCCCGAGATGAGAGGGTCCGGCTTGCCGAGGGCCCCGGGGAACCTCCAGAGCACCGTTAGGCAGCCCGCCCAGGAAGCGGGGGTCAGAGCCCCTGGGGAAGGAGGGGCAGCCCCTCCCCGGGGCCAGAACCCACTTCCTACTTTACCACTCTCAGAGGAGGCGCGGGGCGGGCAGAGGGCGGAGGGCCGGGCCTGCTCCGGGCTCACTCTGCACAGGAAGGTCGTGCGGGCGGGCGGGCGGGCGGCGACCTGGTCTGGGTGCTCCCCGCCGGCAGGATGGAGGACGAGGAGGGCCCTGAGTGCGGCAAAGCGGACTTTGTGCTTTTGGACCAAGTGACCATGGAGGACTTCATGGAGAACCTGAAGCTCAGGTGGGCCTGGGCCCTGGCTCCCTTCTCCCAGACCCCCCGTGGGGGAAGGGAGCCCCACACAGCCCCCCAGACCACTATCTCGGGGTCACCTCAGGGGCACTTGGCGAGGCAGGCAGGACCGTCCCCTTGGGCCAGGGCAGATGGCCGGTGCTGGAGCTGACTCCCCAGACCCCACCTCCCACACAGCCAGTGCCTTTCACCCCACTGCTGGGCACCCAGACCAGCACCCAGACCAGGCGGATGCCCCATCACCCTCATGGGGCCCTGCTGAGCCCTGGGCAAGCTGAGCAAGCCTCTGGGGGCACACGGGCTGCTCCTCCGCACCCAGACCGGCACCCAGACCGGGGGGCTGCCCCCTGTCTCAGAGGGGCAGGGCGAGCTTCCCTCAGAGGAGGGCAGAGGGCAGGGAGGGACCCGGGTCAGGCGGCGCCGGGACACGGGTTGCTGCCAGGAGCTGGCCTCGCCCCTGGGCAGCCAGGGGAGCTGAAGGCACCCTGCTGGGCACAGGTGTGGGCATTGGGGGGCGGGAATGAGCTGCTCCGCGCGGGGCACTGAGCTGAGCAGGACTGCAGCCCATTCATACAAACCGATCAGGAGGCAGCATCACCAGCTCCGTCCTGACACAGGGCGCTGAGCCCAGGGCCACTCAGCTGGCACATGGCAACGTGTCTCCCAGCAGGTGGGGGGGGGGTGAGGGAGTGTAGCCAGGGGACCCCCACGTCAGAGGCAGCTAAGGAAGAGGAACCCCAATTGGCGCCGAGGGCAGGGCAGGGCCCAGACACCCCGGAGAGCAGCCCACCGGTGCTCCCGGGATTCCAGCCCCCAGGGCTTACGGGGTCCTGAAGGAAGGGCTGGGAAGTCAGGATGTGCTGGGGGAGGGTGGCAGCGGCTGCAGCCCCAGGGTCCTGCCCAGGTACCACTCCCAGGCCCCGACGTCTGGGTGGGGCTGGGCGGGGTCCCCCCATGCCACTGGGGCGCCACCCAGACCTTGAGAAAGGAAGCAGCCCAGGCCCCTCCCCGGGCCTCCTAACCTCCTTCGGCCCCGCCCTCGACCTGTCTTCTGGCCCAGGAGGGCTCACCCTGTGTGGCCTTGGACCAGTAGGTCGCTTCATAAAACGCGGCGGGGCAGGGAGGGTCACAATTCCTGTGTGTTAGGACCCCATGGAGGGCAGTGTGGACCCCAACACTCCGCTGGGGTGGGGGTGGGTCCGGGAAGACTCGAGGCCACGCCCTCCTGTCTCGGAGCCCAGCCCCAGGGTGGGCCAGGGCCCAGGCCCCCGCAAGGGCCCACCACCCCCAGGCCCAGCGTGGGTCCCGAGGGCTGAGGGCTGGCCCTGCCCTTGGCAGGTTCGAGAAGGGCCGCATCTACACCTACATCGGGGAGGTGCTGGTGTCCGTGAACCCGTACCAGGAGCTGCCCCTCTATGGGCCCGAGGCCATCGCCAGGTACCAGGGCCGCGAGCTCTACGAGCGGCCGCCCCACCTGTACGCCGTGGCCAACGCCGCCTACGGGGCCATGAAACGCAGGTCCAGGGACACCTGCATCGTCATCTCAGGTACCCCCCTGGGCCCCGGCACCTCCATCCGTGAGCGACGGGAGGTGGCGGGAGCCCCCCGGGGGGCGGGCCCAGGGCACCGATGGGGGGCAGAAGCCGCTCACTCTGCCCGCCCCCCGTCCGGCAGGCGAGAGCGGCGCGGGGAAGACGGAGGCCAGCAAGCACATCATGCAGTACATCGCCGCCGTCACCAACCCCAGCCAGCGGGCCGAGGTGGAGAGGTGAGGCCGGGCGGGGCTGGGCAGCGGGGGAGGCCGCTGGGCCTCGGGGTCCGGCCGTCTGTCGGGAGGGCCCCAGGGTCCTCGCCCAGGACCCCTCCACCGCGGTGAGGGGAGGCGAGGCCCACGCATGGCCCGGGGCCCTCTCGGGACCCCGGGCAGGAGCGGCCAAGCTGGCCAGCCGCCCGGCCAGGCAGGCCCACGACGTCAGCCAGGTGTCAGGGCTCCGGCCGGAAACCGGAAGTCAGGGCGGTCCCGCGGCTCGCCAGCTTCGGGGGAGGGGCTTCCTGTGCCGGAACCTGCCCTTCCTGCGGGCGGGCCGGGGGCCGGGGGCCGGGGGCCGGGGCCGGGGGACAGCCGCTGCTGAGCACACGTGGCCAGTGGGCAGCAGCTGCTCCGCCTGCAGCCGGAGGCCGCTGGCGGAGTGTCCAGACCCAGGTCCTCGCCGCAGGCTGAGGGAAGACCTGGCGAAGCCTGGGAGATGCTCTCC